TGGTGCATTTGCCACAACTTCAAATTCTTCTATCTGTCAAACATTCACAGGAAAGAGAAAAACAAAAAACATGTACAAAAAAGTACATAATATGCATACAAAACACAACATTAGCAACGAAATTTTATACAAAAAATTTTTTGAAAATAAAAAGTAGTAAAAAATATAAATAATTTTTGGTGGTTTGAAAATTAATCTGTTAAACAGGTAAAATGCTTGTTTTATTACATTTTTAGTTTTAAGTGGGTGTTATTAAAAAAAAACTATTTAAAAAAATTCGAATAGTTGGAAACGAAACATTGAAAAACGCAAATAAGAATTTCAAGTAAATACTGTTTAGGTTATTTATAAAGCAAAAATGTATAGGAAATAAGAAAATAAAATAATAAATACATAAAAATGTACGAATAAGTGAAAAAAAACTAAAAAAGAGAAAAAACACATACAAGCAACGCAAAGACTAGATATTCATTTTTTTTTTTTTAACTAAAAGAAGGTAGCAAAGTGAAAATGAAAGGGGGCGAAAAGAGAAAAATGTGTTGAAAGAAAGAAAGTAAATACGGGAGACCTGTATGTGTGAATAAGGGTGCCAAAAAGACAGAAGATAAAAAATAGATGTAATTACAAAAAGTCAAAATGTAGCAAGCTTAAAGAGTAACCAAAAATTATTCTATTATTATTTCAAAAAATACGATAGTCGAAGATCCACAGAAATTCCATTTGAAGTTAAACTTGTAAAATATGGTTACTTCTGATTGAACGTTAGAAAAACTTTATGCTGGTCACACTATATGTAAGTGACCAATTTCCACAGTAAACATCACAAAAAAAAAACTGGATACAATAAATTAAGATTTCATGTTGGTATAATAATAAATAAAAGAAATTACATAAAAATACGCTAATTGCAGTAAAACTTACTGAGAATCGAAGCAAAAAAGTCCATTTAGTAATTAGTGTGTGAGATGAAGTCATAAGTTAGGGCAAGAGATTTTGAGTAAGCAAAGTTTTTGTTTTATTTTAAATTAAGGCATAATACTATTTACGCGTAGACTTCCATGATTGTGAAATTAAATAAAATCAACTAAAGTAAACAAATTTAAAGAGGAAATTAAAAAAAATATATGTATAAAATAATAAAAATTAAACCAAAATGTTAAAAGAAATTAATAAAAGTACAGTATATAATGCGAAAACAAATAACACATTAAAAGAACTCAAATATTTATGCCGAATATTCAATGTAGAAAAAATGCTGATTGTAACTGTGGCGCTTGACAGAGATGCCACACTAGTTTTTAAACGGAAAATAATGATACTAAACACTAAGCACATACAGCATTATTTCTTAAAAATAAAATCACTGTATATATGCATACATACATACATACTTAAATAAAAAACACACATACACACAAAATATAATAATGAAGAAAGTCTAAAAAATTTTAAAATGCAACCCTTTATTACAAATAAAGGCATTAAATTTAACCAATAATTGCATGCATTTTGAAAGATTAAACAAGCTCGAACACACACCAACATTTGCTCAACAACAACAACAATAAAAATGCAAACATGCGAGTGAAAATGTGCTCATAATATTATGCAAGAAGTTTGCTTATATAGTGAAAAAAATAAATAAATAAATAAATATAGGGTACATATTGTAAGCAACAAGAAATATTACAGCCAGTGACTGTATTAAATAAGTATACAGGTATTTATTTGTATTATTAAAAGAAAGATAAATGTTTACAAAATTTTAGTTTAAACAAAAATAAAAATAAATACATATTTTAAGCGCATAGCATATGAACATACATACATACATTCAAAAAACGATGATGTGAACAAAAAAAATGAATACAAAAATAAATACAAAATTGTATCAAGAATTACATCTAAATGTGAAAATGGAAAATATGAATAAACAGAAAGTAATCATAATGTAATATTTCTGGTTTTTATAGTATTTTTTTTTCTCCGTGGGGTTAAACATTTTGACCGCTTGGGTGTACAGTAAACCGTACCACCTTACAAGAAAACAAGAAAAAAGTTCGCCGTACACCTCTGAGTCTAAATTATTTTTCCAAGGAAATTAAATTAAAAAAATATATATTTTTGACCGAACCTAAGAATCGCATTTCTACATTATTCGGTGACACCTAAATACATTCGGCACTAAAAAATTGTTTAAAAATAGTTCTACTGGAACAATTGATATACTTCCTCAGTAAAAGTTTAAATATATCTGGTGAGATTTAATTTACTGGAATTAGGGTGGTACGTTATGGTGATAGGAATTGAGATCTGATAGTGAAGTACTAGTAGAACGGAGTACTTGTAAATGAAAAAAAACGATTAAAGGAATGCGGTAAATAAGAATGGTATAATTTTCTCGAAAACCTGTAATCTTAACAATAAAAGCTCTTATTTACGAAAAATGGGTTTTAAGCACAAAAAAGATTATCCAATATTGGGCGCTTGTACTGAAAGGATTAAGATCCGAAGATATGACAAAAAATGTTAAAAGGTAATCCCTACGTTCGGCCAAAAAATAAAATTATAAAAAAATTGAAGTTGCCCTGCAAAAAATATTTAACGGCTAACTTTTTTTCTGGTACGGTCTAGTGAACGTTTAAGATTGCGGATTTTTTATTTGTGACGTTGGCTGATTTTAGCGCGCGGGAGACGAAAATTTGTTTGATACTAAATCCTCTTGAAGTAAGATGTAACAACTTTTTCATATAAGAAACGACTTCTAATTCGCAATTTCAACCTTGGAGACATCTTTATTTTTAGAACTTGTATTTATTTGTTTCAAAATGTATGGTATTTAACCCAGAAACCTTGAAGCTTACCTGCGATAGCTACCCCAATATCTGATGAGGTCTTTTCCTTCCTAGAAGTCTGAGGCAATCAGTCAATTCTGATATTAATGACTTCCATTGCCGTTTGGAAGGACTAAAGCTCGATGATTGATCAGCTGTACTTGAATGTAAACGGCTACTTCTATCGTAAACGGCCCTTCAATTAATACCCTTTTCATATCACACTTTCTCGACCTACCGCTTAAGCTTGATGACAACGATCCAAATATTAGCAGATCTAACCAAAGCTACATATGTAAGTAAGTTTCGATGCCTCATCCGAGAAAGCAATTTTGATATATATCCTGTACTTGATGAGAAGCTCGACCAAACCTTGCCCACCGAATATTTATTTGTACACTTTTTATTACCGCAGGGCGAACTATGTAGTCCGTTCCAGTTCGAAACTGATAAGAGCGCCTGACAACTTTTCTGATGTTAACAGTAGAGCTCGGATGTTACCATTTCCCGACGAAGCTCAGTTAGTCCAAGTAGACATACCTCCTTCCAATTGGCTACTTTTGCATCTTACATACTGCTGTGATAGCTTTTTGCCTATTAGGTTGAGGTTAGAAAGACAATCCAACACAATGTGCTAAATCGGAGAGTGTTATTCCAGAAAATTTATAGGGGGTTTCATTTAGTCTCACCGTACTAAGTACAGCGACGAAGTTCGCTACAGACCGGATGATAACATCGTGTGCCTTGTCCTTTCCACATGTCGTGCCGGCCAACAGCTGGAGAACTTTGATGCTACAGCGGAGCCTTTTGCTGATCATTTGTTGCTTTAGGAGTGTAACACCTGAAATTTTAGAGTGTTCTATGGTCGGTATACTTGATCCGTTCACTTCTTCGTCGAGTTAGAGACTCACAAATGACAAAGGAATTTTCCCCCTCGTTGACAGTGTGGCCGTGGACTTTACGTAAATGGATATCCCAGTCCCAAGCAGCAGGAAGTAGAGAGACAACACTGCTCCGTAAGTAAATTTTGGTCGAAGAGCCGGCGAAGTTACGAGAATTGGGATCGCTCCAAGAGCCGGCACCACTCCAAGAGTCGGCGCCGTTTGAAGAAAAGGCATCGATCTAGAAACAGCCGCCATTCCAGCAGCAGGCACCGTGAGGGGTCACTGGGTCTACACCGCCGATCTCCCAGTCGGACAATACCAGCGTCACAGGAACCAGGGTGGCAGAGACAAGCTAACAGGCATCGTACGTGTAGACCCCCACCAATACCCCTGCCGGGTCTACCCGTCGCCTTTGATCACCACAACAGATCTGGCGTTAGCGCATCGAGAATCAATTGGTATCTCCGGTACCTGGGAGCAGGGGAAGGCACCCTAAGAAGCCCGGGTTACGGGGGATGAACGTGAGCCTGATAAGCGTTGAATGCCTAAAAAGCTTGCTGTGGAGCTCTACTTTAAGTCCGACATAGTAGTTTCCAAGGCACATTAATTTAGCCTCGATACACTGCTCTTTTCAGATCGGCTGAAACCGGTTTTTCAAGGGTGCGAAGTTTATCTCAGCAATTTCAGATGCCGAAAAATGCGGTATGAAGTGAAAAATATCTTTATTATTTATTCACACACGGAGCTTGGTATTCGGTAACACGGTTTTCGGTAATTTTTCACAATGTATTTAGTTTGTGTAAAATTATTTTAATATCTTTGTACCGGTTGCTGAATTTTTGTGGTGGGAGCTTGATAATTTTCCTGGTAGTCAGTCAACTGCAATCAGCTGTTCTATATGTATCCAATTTTGCAACCGCACGCTGCCGAAAGGCATAACGCATACGCGTAAATAAAGTTCCTATAATTTTCTGTTACAATTTTTTTTTTTATATTAAAAAAAAGATAAGAATCAGCTGTTGATAAACGTAGTTTACCAAACTATAAAAATAAAGCTGAAAAGGTATGAACGTCCTGATAAAATTGCCAAGTACCAACTAGCAGTTTACCAAAACTCCTGAAATTAATGTGAAGACCCTTACCATATCTAGTTCTTCTTATGGGCCGAAGTTACCGATGTCAAGGTACATATTTAATCCAAAGCTTATATAAAACCGACTACCCACTTTATGATTACACTATAAGGTACTTATTGCGAATGTCCTACACAGGAAGAAGAAGCATGCAATTAGAATTTTTATAAGCGCTTTATTTAGTGGATGGATTGATTTTGTTGTGGTTTATTAATTAGTGACTAATGGTTTGAAAAAACAATTAATAATTAATGCAATTTGAAGAACGAAAGAGCATTGAAATAGCTTAAACTGTTTTTTAAGAGCAGCTGATGGATTTCACCAAACGTAAGTAGAGCTGTGAAAGAATATTTTCAGAATGCATTTGTGGGCATTGCAGTGATTAAATTTTTATAAATTCGTCTATATTTGTTTACATGTTTACGTCCGTTCTTGTTTATGGCTTAGTTAAGTCAAATTATTATTTCCTCGACGACAAAGCTTACACAGAGGATGACCTATTAGTCTACAATGTCACGGCGTATCAGTTACATGGCAAGGTAATTCAGTGACGCACTAATGTCGCATTAGAATGCTTAATTAACTATGCTAATATTTATAGGTCACCGAGTTGGAGCTTTATAAGTACTTTTCGCAATTCGGTGATGTACTCAAGGTGTATTTGAAGCGCGATAAACATGCCATAGGCACCACAGAACCGCCTATTGGTGTGGTCCATTTTGCACATCCACTGGCAGCCGCGAAGTAAGTATAAAAAAAATACACTTAATTAATCAAGCATGTGTTTAGATAATGGAATATATGCCCATTAATTATATGTATATGCGTGTGTACTTACATCTCTACTCATCTTACAATTTTTAGGTCGCTCCAACGCTCCTGCCATGAATTGCAGAAGAAGCGCTTCTTTGTTAATGCTTGCGAAAGTTGGGAGCAACCAGAAGCATATAAAGGTGGAGTTGACTTTAACGCACGCATTGCTACGCTGAATATAAATGGAGATTTGATTGATTTTTACACACCTGTACGCACCAGTATCTTACAACTGAATGATGAATGCCTAGAAGCAATTTGTCAATATTTGCCACTACGTGATCAGATACGTTTTTCACGCGTTTGTCGGCGATTTCGTGATATTTTCAAGCATACCTGCAAATACGCTCCCAAAGTATTCAACATGACTCAATTAATCGGCATGACTTTATGGGATATACGTGAATTCTTTGAGATGGCTGGCGCTAATATAGAAGAGCTGAATGGTGCGGTGCCTTATAATTATCAAGATCGCATTGATTTTATTAGTGAGTTGAGTCCACGTGTGCGTCGTGTAAATCTCAACTGTAACAATGTAGAGTCAGCAAGCTTGTTGCGACTCTTGGAGCGTTTTCATGCCGTTACCTATGTGGAATTGCACAACTTCTCGCTAAATGATAGCGCTGTGCTAGCCTTAAGAAAACTGCCCAATTTGGTTGCTTTGGTATTGGATCAGAGTTTCGAGTTGACGGGTAAGAATAATACTACTCATTTTAAGGCGCATATTATTTAATTATATTCTTGTTATTTATATTCGAACTGTGCACTTACAGGCAAAAATCTAAGTAAATTATATCAGCTACATGAGCTAAGCCTTTATGGCTGCGAAAATGTGCAAACTAGCCACTTTATCGATATCTGCAAGTGCTTATTTAATTTGCGTTGCTTAGATATACGTCATTGTAAAATGCTCACATCTCGCGCCTACACCGAAATGGTGCGAAACTGTCGTCAATTGGAACAACTTAAAATCTCTTGCGAAAAGGAGGTAAATTATGATTGTGTCGCACAACTACATTCCTTGCGTCAACTCTCGGTGCATTCATTCGGGGCTGTGCGCGAAACTTTATTCATAGCATTATCGGCACATAAGTCACAGCAGCTTGAACTACTCGAGTTATCAGCAAGGAATTGCATCACACACGAACGTGCCATTTATCTAGCAAGGCTGCAAAAACTACGCAAATTAATCTGTCCAAATAATGACAATCTAACCGATGAGTGTCTCTTCGAATTCGCCGAACGTCTGCCGCTGCTAGAAGAGCTTGATATACATAATTGCCGCGCGGTAACAAATATCGGACTTTTGGTGCTGCTGCGCCGTTGTACGCACCTCAAATGTGTCAATATTGAGCAATGTGAGGGTATAACCGATGACTTCGTTTACGATGCCTGCGATGTGCTGAAACAGAGTAGATGGGAATGTGATGAGCCGGTGTTGTTTCGTATCGCGGGCACTAGTGTACATGAAGCTGTGGTTAAGGTAAGTTGGTGGATTTTTTTACAGATTGTTTTTTTATTGCTGTGTTTGATATTTTCAGGATCTATCATGTGCAGACGTTGGTCGTTTGCTGCGTTTTTCTTTAATAGAAGAGAGTTCCTAGTTAAACACTGGCGGTAGAATTGGAATGATTTCTAGACTAACGACCAAAGGTTAAGTAGAGGAAATATTTGAAATATTACATGCGCAGTATAAACAGACAAAGATATTTGTCACGATGTTCATGGGAAAGCATTTAAAAGACATTAAATTAATACATTAAAAAAATATGTTATATCACCGAAAGAAAAAAATTATTCAAAGAAAAGATACACAACGCACATACCGACAGCGAAATATATCGCACGTTAAATAATAGAGAGTTATTTAAATAAGGATTTTGTGACAAAACGCAATCAAAGTTTGATAAATTCATATTATGGGTATACAAAAGTATAAAAAGTTGGAAATACACATCTTCACCATTTTTGGGAAGTTTAATAATCTGTTAGACTTAACAGATTCTCTTAACGAAGCTTATTAATTCTATGAAGAAATATCCAAAAACGTAAATTTTGATTTAATTCTCTATATTATGAAACGTGCGAAATTATCACTGGATTATCTTAAAATTTTAACTACAAAATGCTTTATTGTTGTTATAGAGCTGAAGAGAATCAGTAGTTCACGATTTTAATACTTGGTTAATATAACTAACTTGTAAAATGTTTAAATATTTATTAACATTTTTCGTGTTTGCAAAGACCTACTGAACATGAAAACACTTTGATAATAATTAAGTGCGAAACCATTATTTTGTTGTCCAAATCCATTTTATTGTATTACTATTATATTCCACTATCTAAGCTATTCGAAAAGAAGACATTTCGAAGCCAAATCATTTCTTGAAACTAAGCATATACAACCAATGGAAATTCGACTTTTAATTGTGATCCAGCTCCTTTGTGTGCTAAGCGTGAACCTAAAAATACTGAACAATATTCATAACTAACCTATAAGGCTTATTTATCATTCATAAAATTTATGTCATTATAAATGTAGCATACATACACCTGCGTTCAACTAATTAGAAACGAAATTCAAAATGATATTGTTTGCAAATTATGTTTATTTTATAATTTTTATTTAAAATATAATTAAACGTGTAAAAGAAACCACAATAATAAAAGCTTCAAAGTCTGCATAAATTGCAAAAAACATTTATCAAACTTTTAAAAGCTGTCATCAAGATTTCTGTAGCCCATTCAATTGTAGTCTAAGAAAGAGCAAGTCTCAAACTGTTAAAAATTACCGTTGATTTTTTTTTTGTAGGTTGTTGCGCATTTTCTTCCATATAACACATGATCAATTTTTTTTATATGAAAAAATATACGCAACATCCGCAAAATTTTCTAAATATTCTGATTAAAAATTTGGAAATTTTCATCAAAAATTTGATTTTTTTTTTGCAATTTTGCATTTTTGAAACTTTTATTGTTGTGGTTTCTGTTACAGATTGAATTATATTTTAAATGAAAATTATTAAAAATAAAAAATAAACATAATTTGCAAACAATATCATTTTGAATTTCATTGCTAATTAGTTGAACGCAGGTGTATATACATATAAGTAGCTATTCTCATATTGAATTACTAATATAAAATATACGCAATAGCAGCATGCAATAAAACTAATGATACTCTAGAAGCAAATATAGAAACAAAAGAAGCCGAAAATACATTTATTCAACCAGTGATTGTAATTGCGAGTATTCAATCAGGTTGCAAATGATAAGTTAAAACGAGTATAATAAAAATTGTATTTAATTTTTCACGTAGGCATTAAATGCGATTTAGGAAAATAACAGTTTTCTGCATGCATATTCGACATAATTATCTATTGTATTTTACTAGTCGATAAGTGTTACTGTCTTTTACAATATTTACATTGTACTAAGTGATATTGTATATTTTTTTCTGAATTCAAATAAACGCGATATTATGAATAATACGATAACAACAAATTATTTATCGTTTTCAGCAAAGTGTGTTAGCTTTTTTAAGAATACGTTGTATGTAATCAGCAGATCGGGCATTCAATGAACCTCCACCGTCAAACACTCCACGCTACTAGAGACATTGAGGCTTCCTCTCTCCACAGAGGGAGTAGCTATTGTCTTTAATGCTGACGACTGCTCGCTAATGGCGCCCGGAAATAGCATTGCTGACTGTGCTCGAAAGAAAACAGTTACCTCTTCGAACTTTCTCGCTTCTTTCCTGCAAGGAGCCTAACCCTCCCCCTAAGAAATCCTCGGCAACCTTTTCCACCACCTCGATGGAGGAGATTAGACTACAGCTGGGAATTCACGTCGATGGAGAACCAATTCCAACAATTTCAAAAAGAACCGAAAATTCCTGAAGTTGCATTCGATTATCTGCTCTCTTCCTCGGTGTATATCATCGCATTTGCCAATAGAGTACAAACCGGCAACAAGGTCCTGAAGTCGCTAGCCGTCAGGACCTGTGGCAAAGACAAAGAAACGTTGTTGGCATCATACAAGGCCATTGGTCGGCCGGCTCTGAACTATGCAGCGCCCCTGTGGTCGCTGGGGACTAGCAGGACGAAGCTACAGACATGCCTTCTGATGTCGCCGCAACGTCATCTGCACGACGAGGTTCAAATGCTCCCCGGAGGAGCCCTCGCCATGGCACGCCAGAAGGCATCCATACCGACCTACACTGACTCGATCTGTGAATGGCGTTTTGGGAACACAACCACCAGACGTGCACGAGACAGAGCTTCGTCTGCCTCGGACAACATTAGCGCAACTTCGCTCTGTCTACTGCAGCAGGTTAAACTCGTACGTGAGCAGATTAGATGCAGATGTGCGCGGGTGTCCGGCATGCGGAGAGACACCCCACGACTCGAGACATCTCTTCGCACACCCACTAAACCCCACTCAACTAATGTCGCTGCCCCTTTGGACTGACCCTATAGAAGCTACACACGCTTCCTGAGTCTCCTGTTAGTTCATCATGAGGACAATGATTGCGGGACTAGCCGATCAGGGCGGGGTTGATGTAGCCCCTACAACAACAACAACCAACTCATAGAGAGTCGGTCACCAACTGCTACGAAATTTGACCTATGAATGCCGCGATCGGAGCTCAATGTAACCGTTGCAGACACAGAGCTTCGACTGCCACGAGAGACCAGCGTTACTCTGGTTCAATCACGGTCTGGATATTGCAGCCACTTAAACAGCTACTTATCCAGACTAGGGCCCCAATGAGTAACCGCCAAGTGTAGATTCCCCCCATGACACCCACTACCTCTTTACATTGTAACTCAGCTAACGACCGTCTCCCTGTCCTCACCATCATTATCTGTTTTACCTTAGTCTCAATTTTAAGCTTCGTATTTATCTTTTGCTTTATTCATGTCCTCATCTGTGTGCATTTGCATCACAAAAATAAAAATT